TGAGTGTATGGCTCTGGAAGCTGTCTGCTGCTGCTCCAGTATCTCCCCGGCTACAATTCCACAAACACACTCAGTCAAAATACTAATAACCGCATTGGGGTAAAATAACTCTTTTACCCCTGACTAAAGTCAACTCTCCCGGTCAAAGTCAACTTACAGTTGACCTGACTCGCTGAGTTGGGCCGCCAACTCGCCAAGTCCCTACTCTCACTTCTCAACCCTGATCGCTGCTACTCGTCGAGTATGGCATCAACTCGACGAGTTCCCTTTCGATTCTAGAACTCAGGCTATCTGCATCCGACTCGCCGAGTTGTATGAACAACTCGACGAGTTGTTCTTGAATCTATGAAGATTGCCTTAGACTCGCCGAGTTGTATGAACAAGTCGTCGAGTCCCTCCATTACTGAGTCTGACCTCCGGCTCACTGAGTCCATTCTACTACTCACTGGTCCCCACTCGAAATCACTCAAAAGGGGAAGAATCGAGGACTCGCGACTCGACTTGCCGAGTTTGAAGAACGACTCGCCGAATCGAATGCATGCAGTTACTAAAAACTCGATTCTGCTTGAATCCAACGCATATAACTTGTAGATCTGGGCTTCTTATGCACGATTAACACGTAAAGATTCTATCTTTATGTGCCCATAAGCATCCATGAAGATTAAAAGGCTCAAAAATCATAATAAAGGCTAGATCTAGGGTTCTCATGCAAGGCAACTCGAAAAAGGAAATAGATCAGGGCTCTAAAGCTCCTAAATGAACAGATCCAAGGATATCTCGACCCAACAATGCATCCATACAACTATAAAGCTTGGAAAATACATTAAACTAGCCTTAAAGGTGCTCTAATGGAGGTTTTAAGCACAAAACAGAATAATTCCGAAATATACCTCAATGAACTCTAACTTTGGCCTTGGATCTTTGCTCTACACTTCCTCTTTTTGATCCTTTCTTCTTCTTCTTCTTCTTCAATCCTTCAAAAATCCACACAAAAACACTTTAATCAAACAAGGAATGGATTAGGGTTTCTCACAAACTCTCTCAGGGTGAAGGAGGCGAGTTGGGGGCACAAAACATTGCTTAAATAGTGAGCAAACCCAGGGATTTAGGGTTTCTTCCTGGCAGGTGGACTCGCCGAGTCCCGAATATGGACTCGTCGAGTCTCCGACTTACACGTGCTCGAAATCCCCGTCTCTACTCGACGAGTCGGGCTATAGACTCGCCGAGTCCCTCTTGAAAACTTCTAAATAATAACAAGGAAACAACATACCAGAGACGGGTCGTTACAATTCTCCCCCACTTGACTAAGACTTCGTCCTCGAAGTCTGCTACGGCTGAATCTGCAAATAACTCCGGGTAGTGCTCTCTCATCTCATCCTCAGCCTCCCACATCCACTCAGACCCCTTCCGGTGATGCCACTGCACCTTCACTAGCTAAATTACCTTGTTCCTCAAGGTCTTTCTCTTCCAGTTCAGAATCGCGACCGGCTTCTCAATATAATTCAGGCTGCTATCAACCTGAATATCTTCTAAGGGAACAACTGCTGACTCATCCACCAAACACTTCCTCAACTGAGACACATGGAAAGTGTTGTGGATCTGGCTAAGCTCTGTCGGAAGATCCAACCGATAAGCAACCCGACCCACTCGAGCCAAAACCTTGAAAGGACCAATGAACCTGGGGCCCAGCTTGCCCCTCTTCCGAAACCTGATGACACCCTTCCAAGGTGAGACCTTCAGAAGGACCATATCGCCTACCCGGAACTCTAATTATGAACGCCTCCTATCGGCGTAGCTCTTCCGCCGACTCTGCGCAGTCTGCAGTCTACTACGAACCTGCTGAATCAACTCAGTCGTCTTGAGCACCGCCTCCGTGCTCCCAATGACTCGCTGACTGACCTCGCCCCAACAAATCGGGGTCATGCACTTTCTCCCATAAAGCATCTCGAAGGGAGGTCGATCAATGCTCGCATGATAACTGTTGTTATACGAAAATTCCGCTAACGGAAGATACGTATCCCAACTGCCACCAAAGTCTAGGACACATGCCCAGAGCATGTCCTCGAGAGTCTAAATCGTCCTCTCGCTCTGCCCGTCCATCTGAGGGTGGAAAGGGGTGCTGAAATGGAGACGAGTACCCATCTCTTCGTGAAACCGCTTCCAAAATCTGGATGTAAAACGGACGTCTCGGTCTGACACCACTGATACCGGCACTCCATGATGTTCCACTACCTCCCGCACATAGATATCGGATAACTTTTCCGCCGATATGCTCTCCTGGATCGGTATGAATTGAGCACTCTTCGTCAACCGATCCACTACTACCCAAATCGAATCTACCCCACGTGCGGTCCTGGGAAGCTTGGTGATAAAATCCATGGTGATGTCCTCCCATTTCCATACGGGAATGTCTAACACCTGCATCTTGCCGTGAGGCCTCTGGTGTTCTGCCTTGACCTTCCTGCAGGTCAGGCACCTCTCTACATACCAAGCGACATCCCGCTTCATGCAGGGCCACCAGTAATCGAGACGAAGATCTCTATACATCTTCGTCGCCCCTGGGTGGATAGAAAATCGAGACTTATGAGCCTCGTCCATCAACAGCTGCCGTACTCCGCCCCCGTACGGTACCCACACTCTCCCATGAAGGGTCAACAACCCCCAACTATCATAATCAAACGAAGCTACTCGGCCCACTATCCTCTCACACTTCTGCCTCTCCTCCTTGAGGCCCTCAACCTGAGCCTCCCTGATCCGTTCCAACAACGGAGTAATCACTGTCATCCTCAGACATAAGTCTCTGATAGGGGCTGCTGACACCTTGCGGCTTAGGGCGTCGGCCACTACGTTGGCCTTCCCTGGATGGTAAAGGATTTCACAATCATAATCCTTCAGCACATCTAACCACCTCCTCTGTCTCATGTTTAGACTCGGCTGATCCATAAGGTACCTCAAACTCATGTGATCTGTGTAGATGGTACAATGGACCCCGTAAAGGTAACGTCTCCAAATCTTGAGGGCAAACACCACCGCCCCCAGCTCTAAATCGTGGGTAGGATAGTTCGCCTCCTGAGGCTTCAACTGTCTCGAGGCGTAAGCTATCACACGCCCTCGTTGCATCAATACTGCTCCCATAACTGTGATTGAGGCATCACAGTAGACTACAAAATCCTCTATTCCCTCTGGCAGGGTAAGGATCGGAGCCTCGCACAATCTCTGCCTGAGGGTCTCAAATGCCGTCTGCTGCTCAGGCCCCCAACGAAACACCACCGACTTCTTGGTCAATTGGGTAAGCGGTACTGCTATCTTGGAGAAATCCTGAATGAATATTTTGTAATACCCTGCCAAACCTAGGAAGATCCGAATCTCGGATGGAGACTTCAGGACCTCCCACTGCATCATGGCCTCTATCTTGGCCGGATCTACCAGAATACCCTTCTGGTTGACAAGGTGACCAAGGAACTGCACCTCACGCAACCAGAACTCGCACTTGGATAACTTTGCGAAAAGTCTCTCTTTTATCAAAACTTCTAGCACCTCCCTCAGGTGCTCCTCATGATGCTCATGAGTCTTGGAATATACCAAGATATCATCTATGAATACTATCACAAACTAATCCAACATCGGTCTGCGTACGCAATTCATGAGATCCATGAACGCGGCTGGAGCATTAGTGAGCCCAAAAGGCATCACCACAAACTCGAAATGACCATAGCGGGTCCTGAAAGCAGTCTTATGCACATCTTCGCCTCTGACCCGCATCTGGTGATAACTAGAGCGTAAATCGATCTTGGAGAACCAAGATGCCCCCTGAAGCTGATCAAACAAATCATCTATCCTCGGGAGGGGGTAACAGTTCTTCACCGTTACCTTATTCAACTCCGGGTAGTCTATACACATATGGTGCGACCCATCCTTCTTCTTCACAAACAGGATCGGCGCTCCCTAAGGTGAACTACTTGGCCGAATAAAACCCTTGTCTAGTAGCTCCTGCAGCTGCATAGACAACTCCTTCATCTCACGGGGAGCTAGCCAGTACGGTGCCTTAGCTATCAGAGCCGCACCAGGAATTAGGTCGATCCCAAACTCGACCTGCCTCTCAGGAGGTATTCCTAGTAAATCCTCTAGAAATACATCCGGGAAGTCTCGCACCACCGGAACATCGTCAACTGTCGTCTTGCCCTTCTCCCGAGCATCCAAGACATAGCTACATAACCGATGCAACCCTGCTGAAAATAGCACCTCGCTCTCGCAGCTGAACAAAAAGCTGGGCCGCGCTGTGGCCTCTCGCCTTGAATCACTAACTCTCCCCCACTGGGAGAGTGAACCCTCACTAGCTGCAGCTCGCAATCAATCACCTCCCCGTTGGGACTCAACCAATCCATGCCCACTATAACCTTATTCCTTCGCAGGGGAATAGTTACCATTATAAACGAATGTATAACTAATGAAATTGTTACTAACCTTTGCAATTTTTTCAAATCCTCTATCTCCCTTTTGATACTTGGGCATATCTCCAAATCCTAACTCAAACCATTTTGCTTATGCATCCATAACCTCTGCATTGCCGAACATCTTTTGTCCTCCAACATTGTTATCAATGGTTTCCTTCTAGCATCAAGTACGTCAGAATTGAAACTTTCAGAAACTCCATTCTCTACTACATCACAGTCCATAACCTCTCTAAAAAAAAGCCTTTGATCAACACCTTGGATCCCTGTCTAAGAGATATTCATAAGCCTTGCTTTCAAAGGACTTAATCTCATTCATTGATGCTTCAAAATTTGGTACAGTTGTTGCATTCACAGCCCTCCAAAATGGTTTAAAGTATTGTTCTCCTTTAAATTTTTTGTGGAAATTAGCACATAATCTATGCTCCATATCAGGAAGTCTTTCCTTCACAGCTTCAAATAATCCCTAATTGAAACAATTACATGATTAGTTAATTAAATGATCAAAACAATTAAAGTTAATTAAAAAAATAGAATGATTACCTTGTGTCAATCTGAGAGGATTGTAATGCCATGACCATTCCCTCCTCCGATGTTTTCCATCAGGTTGTCCGAAAACCATTTCCATGTCCTTTTGTTCTCAACATTGACTACTGCCCAAGCTAAGGGATAGATGTTATTATTAGCATATCTACCCACTGTTGGTAGGAGCTCCCCTTTACAAACACAATTAAGAAAGCAACCATCAATCCCAATTTCCTTTATGCATCTATCAAACCACCCATCCACAACACCTTTAAAGCTAACATCAAAACCTATCAAACACCACAATATTATCAGGTTGTGGCTCCACGAACACCTCAACATGTGAACCTGGATTAACGTTTCTGATTTCAGCTGTATAATCCCCCAATCTGGCATAATGCTCTTTCAAACTTCCCTCAACTTCAGATAATGCTAACTTTTTTGCATTCCTACACTGCCCAACACTCACATTAATGTTGTATCTCTTAGATACTAGGGCTTTCATTTTCCTCAAACTCAGTTTAGGACTCTCCAAAACATAATTCACAAATTGTTTCCCTATCCACTTATATGTTACAATTGACCCAAGCTTGAATGCCATAGAGCACTTGTGCTCTGTTATAAGAGACTTAATCTGAAAAGTGTGTTCCTCTTTCATCCAGGAAGCATACGATCTAAAAGGGCATGTCTGATTCTTTCCTTTACAACATCTAACTAGCAACCTATTCTTGTCATTCTTTTCATACCACAAATCATAACCATTTGCTACAACATAGCAAATAAGAGAGTATTTAAGTTCAGCAGTAGTAGAGTATTTCATACCTAATCGAGGCTTCATCTCATTCCAATCTTGAGTATGATCATGTCTTGGGTAGATAGGTCGTATTGCATTATGATCATCTTGAACCAAGTCATCATTCTGTATTTGATAAAGTTTGTTGAGGAAATGATCATTGAAGATTCTTTTGAGAGATATAACTTCATCGTCCTTTACATGTTCAACTTTCAGTCCATCTTCTAAAATGGAGTCCACATCATCAATAGAAACCAAATCTTCATCTTCAAGGTATGCTTCTTCCTCCTGAATCCAATCAAACAAAGGTTCATGATAATGATCCACATACACATCCAATCTCTTCTGAATATCATGTAATCCCTTCGACAACCTCACTTCATGTGGACAGTAATACACATATCTGCATCTTCCGTTAGTAATCTTTTGAAGAAAGGAGATGAAATCAGGGAAGTTCTTCTTGTTCACAACCGTGTATGGTACAGAGGCTTTTACTCCATTAAAATACATTAATGGGGTAGGTGTGAACACCCCATCATAGTGTACATCAACGATTGTATCTGCATCTTCAGCCATTGTTGATGGTGATTGTGAGTCAAGAAGTTTGAGTGATTATCGGCTGAGTGAATGGAGGAATGGGTGATTAAATGAGCCCTAATTATCGTTTCATGGTGTAATTTAACAATATCCACGTAAGGAGACATGTGGATGCTACCTGGTTATTTCATTTCAAGAAAATAAAATAAAAATCATATATGACTGGTAAACCGGCTATAGCGGTCATAGGATTGCATAATTACAAAAAATCGGGTATAAGGGTTTAATTTACAAAAAAAAAGAATAGGGACTAAATGTGTACATTTCAAAAAGTAACTTACCCTATCAAGTCATTATCCCTTGTTTATATAATTCAAAAATAGAAACGTATTACTCTTTAGCCCAAATAACGATCATAAACATTTAGGAAACGTCGATACGGTTTCCATAGATATATAAAACGCTTAACTCCGACTTAGTATGAAGAAGTTATACGCCTTCGAAGCTTTATGATTAAACCGACACGGCTCAGCGTATCATAAGAAGTAAATTTTGAGTTAGGTCTCTTATTAGCCTAAGCAATCCAAATGAAAGTTGCAATGGTTGTTAAATCGAGTGCATGTGTATAGAGAATGTCAAAATATGACTTCGTGAGAGGAAATTATGAATTTAAAATGTTTCAGCAAAGCAGTGTGCACAATAAAATTGAATTTTAGACGTTACAAAAATTGAATGCTAGGAGGGTAGATTATTAGGTAAAATAATCTAAACAAGAATTTTAAATCTCATCAATAAGAGCCCATCAATATAAAGAACATCGAGAACGGAGTCTGTGTGTAGGAGTTATATTTTCTACAACAATTTCTAACAATCTAAGCTTATAAAAAATATAAATGTTTTATAGATTAAGAATTAGCTGCTGAGGTCTAAAGGAAAGTTGTAGATTTCATCGAGAGATTTCCAGGGATATAAATAACATCGAAAATGGATTTCGTATGAAGAAGTTGCGACGTTTTGAAATTCTAAAAAATCACATGTGCCAAGGGTTCGGTGCGCATGATGATGTAACACCACGAGAGAGTGCAATATGGCCATCTCAGGTAGCCCCTTTCTTCCGATACATGGTGACGTGGCTCTGCAAGGTTATGACATGTGGCACCATAGGAAGCTGACACGTGACACCTTCTAGAAGAGGCTTGGGTGGATAGTTTCGGATGCGACACATGGTAGAAGGAGGGTGGAGCCAGCAAGCCCATAGGGCGCGACGCATACCTCTATAGGCGCATCACACATGCCTTTTCTTCTCTATATATATAGAGGCATCTATATAAGCTCTAACCCTCACACTCCTATAGCCTTTATATAGGAGTTCTCTCTGCACTTTTTGGTCATTTTCCTTAGGTTTCTATGTTCTGGTGAAGCCCTACAATCTTTAAGGTATTTAACTAAGTAGTAGCCATCAAGTAGCAGCCCTACAAGTGTGATTTCTGGACTTTGGTGAGGAAGAATCACTTTAAGTTAAGCTACACTCTAGTCTTTTTAGTGTAACTTATATTTATAGTCATAAGTCGTTATTATGGACCTATAAATAAGATTTATCAGTAATTCCAATCATAATGCTAATTGATTTATGTAACATCCGGATTTTTAGGTACATTATTTAATTATTATTTTTGGAGATTTTGAGAGAGACTCGGTGAGTTGATGCTTAGACTCGCCAAGTAGAGTCGCGAATTTTCAACCTGGTTAATGATCAGACTCGGCGAGTCGACTAGTGGACTCGGCAAGTTCGCACTGTTTAATGAAACCCTAACTTCTGGGGTTTGAGACCTATTTAAAGGTCCTTATGGCCTTCATTTGCGCCTATCAGTTGATAGAGAGACCCCAGAGTGTGTGAGTGTTTTGAGAGAGAAAGGAAGCCATTTTTGATCCTTGTGTGAGTGATTTTGCAAGAAGAAGGTGACCAAGGCAAGAGGAAGCTGAAAAGGGAGCTAATCTGTGGATTTCAGAGCTTAAGGACTCCATCTTGAGGTACATATTCGATCCTACTTCAGTTTGGGGTGTTAATCCTTGAAAGTTAGGGTTTCTAGCCCATTTAGAGTATGATTGTTAGTGCATTTGGTCCCTTCGTGTGTTGAGGCTTCGAAAGTGGATCCAAAGAGGTCCAGAGACCTTAAATCCTTGATCTTTATTGAGTGTTTTGGAGAGATATGAGTTTTGGATGGCATATTGAGGCCATTTCTTCAAATAGAGCCATGGGATCCTTGCATGGGCATCAAGATCCAAACTTTACGTGTTTTTATTGCATTAGGAGTCCAGATCTATGAGTTAGAGGAACGGATCTAACCTCAGGAGCTCATTTGAGCTCGAGTATGGCATGAACTCGCCGAGCCCCAAGAATAGACTCGGCGAGTAGGGTTAGGGTTTCCCGTAAGTCACTCAGTGAGTAACTGGTCGAGTTGGCGGAATGACTCAGTGAGTCAAAAGGGGGTAGAGGGTTATAGGTGGAACTCACCGAGTTCATAATTGAACTCGACGAGTTGAGTCGGGGTGGCCCCGCGATTCATGCCAGGTGTAACCCGTCGAGAAGGGGGGGGGGGGGGGGGGAGGCTCGATGTGTCATGAGAGGCTAGAGAGTTAGTGGACATATGTAGACTCGTCGAGTCACCCAAGTGCACTCGACGAGTCAGGTCAAAGTTTGACCATTGACTTTGTTGACTTTTAGGGATTGGTCAACAATGGGGTCTTTGAGTCAAGAGAGGGGTAAAATGGTCTTTTACCCATCTGAGGATGCTAAGAAAAGGTTGGTTCTAGTCTCGAGAGTTATATTTATGAGCATATCTTACTTTATGTGATTAGGCGGATGCTAGACTATACTGCTATCGAGTTAGGGATTTACCGAGACATCTGAGGTGAGTCTTCTCACTATACGTTACCTTGAGTGGTAATTAGAGTTATGTGACAGAGTTATTGTATGCTATTTATGTGATGTGTTGCACGACATTATTTCTATGTGATTTATGCCATGTGTATATCAGAGTATATCAGAGTTAGAACCGGAAGGTTCATAGAGCTAGCACTAGAGAGTCCACAGAGTTAGGGCCCAAGGGCCCACAGAGTTATAGCCTCGAGTGGCTAGTATGTGTTATGTGTGGCATTTGGGGAACTCACTAAGCTTTATGCTTACGATGTTATGTGTTATGTGTTTCAGGTACTAGTGATGATCGCGGAAGGCACTGACATGATCTGTACACACACCCGCAGAGTTTATTATGATTTGATCTTGGGAAATCTTTTGTGAACAATGATATGATACAATAAGATTTTATTAATGAATGTGTTTGGAAATGTGTTTTAAAGTGTGAAAAATTGTCTTAAATTTTACGGTGTTAGAAGTTGGTATCAGAGCCTTGGTTTGAGGGATTCGGATGCATCTTCGGGCGTATCTGAACTCAAACTGAGGATTTGGAAATTTTTTTGATAACAAAACAATTTTTTTTAAAAGAGTTTTGAGAAAAACAGAGCATAGCCGTGTGTACGATCAGCCGGTGCCCGAACGGTGATTTCCCAAAATACCCTTGTAATAAGTGTTATGAGATATATTATGTTATGATTATATGAATAGCTATATTATGCATGCTAGAGTAGACTATGTATACTTATTAGGACTAGAGTGGCCTGATATATGATGCCATAGTCTAGGAGCTTTGCTGCTAGGGATGCGGTGTGGTCAGTAGTATTGGGCCCGTACTACCGAAGGCACCAGGTCAGTACGCAGCCCAAGTAAGAATCCTTAGGGTACTAGAGATCAAGTAAGAATCCTTAGGGTACTAGAGCCCAAGTAACAAAACAATCTTGTGTTGTATTTTAGAGAGGCATCATGTTAGGGACACGCCACAGACCAGTGACCAATGGAGGGGGTGTGAGCGACGAGGAGCTCCGCCAGATGATTCATGATAAGGTGGTTGCTGCCATCCACGATGAGATTCCAGAGATGTTTGGGTCTATCAAGACCACCCTGATAGAGACATTCAACGAGAGATACGTTGCTCTTTCTGATGTAGCTGTTGTTGCGGCTAGACCACAAGGTGGTGATGAGTTGCTGTTCCGGGAGTTCAGCAACACAAAACCATCAGATTTTGATGGCACCCAGGACCCGATTGCAGGGATGAGGTGGATTTCAGACATCGAGGGGTGTTTCTTCACCTGCTCATCTCCAGAGCATTTGAGAGTCCGGTTCGCGTTGAACCAGCTTCGCTTGGGAGCGAAGGACTGGTGGAAGTTTGTGACGGCACATGATTCGCCTGCTGAGCTTGCTGCATCAACTTGGGAGAGGTCCACTGCTATGTTCCGAGATGAGTACGTTCCCCAGGTGGAGAGGGAGCGTTTGGTCCAGGAGTTTCTGACCCTCAAGCAGGGTACTGATTCTGTCACAGTGATTACGAGGAAGTTCCATGAGCGGGCGATGTTTTGCCCAGAGCACGTGTCCTCCGAGAAGGCACGTATGAGCCGCTATCTGAGCACTTTGAGGAGGGATATACGGGAGTTCGTGGCGAACTCGACGTACCGAACATTTGTTGAGCTTCAGGAAAATGTTTGGAAGAGGGAGATAGAGCTGGAGACTCAGGCTAGGGAGAAGGCTGAATCTCAGGGGAAGGATCGGCGACTGGTGCAGTCTCAGCCGACAGCCAAGCGGGCTGTGACATCCCCATTTTCATGGCCACAAAAGACCGATTTTGTTTATGCTTTATAAAAATCAGAGTTCTTCTTTTAATAAAAATGTTGCGGAATTTGTTCCCAGAAAAACACGATAAATACGTTATTAAAACATTTTCGAAGAAACGTATTTTATTCATTTTAAAACGTTTGGGATGTCATTGTCAATACAGGAACATAAGCATAAACAGAACTTATATTTATTTACACTAGTGATCTACATCTCTTTAATCTCTCAATGCAATGCGACTTCATATCAACACCTGTGATATAAATAAACTGAGTGGGTCAGGTTGGGAAACCTGGTGAGTACATAGGGTTTT